AATATTTTGTTAAATAATATTTAAATAAAATAAATATCATTTAAAAATTTAACAAATCTATGAATTTATTTCAATCAGTCATAAATTTCATCATCATGAACATATATCCCATTTCAACATAATTCTTTCAAATTTTCCAAATAATTAACCTAACCTCTATTCTGCTTCATTGAATTCTAAAAGAATCACATATTGCAAGAAAATAGGTGATAAATATCATGGATTCTCGAACTCGGTGGTCATTTCTTTACTTCGCTTGAGGATTCAATAAATTGAGCCAAATTTATGATCACAACGTACTTTCACGTTCGATGTATACTCGTTATTTCAGTGCACACATACATATATGTAGAAGGAAACCACGGAGCGTCGTCTAACGTCATTGTGTATTATTTTGACCCTGCAAAAAGGAATAGTGTCTGGTTATAAAAATTCTATATTTTGTTTGTAAATAATGTTTCATCGTGTAAAATCTGAGAAAATAATCAATCTGTTGTGATCGGTTGGATATATAATTTATAGAGTAGAATTTTTTATAAGGAATTAATGAATGTATGAACTCAACAATTTTTTGTAGTGTTATGAATATATTTTTTTTATAGAGATCTTACCTTATTGGATTATAATAGTATAAAATACTGAAGTTATAAAATTTTTATTAATAAGTTTAATATTATAACATCTCAAATAATATTAACATCTCTTTATATTCTAACCTATATGAGCATATGTATTTCATGATGGTTCTGCCATCTATATCACGCTAGTTATAACTAACAATTTTTATGCTATTTTTCTTAAAGAATAAATTTCTTATAGAATAAATTTCGTTTTTTTAATATAAATTAATCTTTTGGCAAATGTTTTGATTTCATTTGAAAATGAAGAGTTTATTATATATAGTTAATAGTATTTTTTTTCGATTTCCGCTAAATTAAATATTACAATGTGATAAAATATTTGTAATTTCATTCTAAAAAAAAAAAAGATGGTGACCTTGAAATCTGAAGAGATATAACCTTGACGGAAATAATTTATCGATCGTAATTTTTTACTTTCTCCTAACCATCTTAATGTGCTTTTTTAATGATGATAAAAATAGAATGTATCACAGTAATATAAAACAATAAAATTATGGAATCTTGAAGACGTTATAAAAAAAACCAACAAAAAACAATATGGTATCTTAAGAATTGTTTATTATGGATCGTGAATATTAAACATAACGAGGACGAGAAATCTTCCATTGGAACATTGTCTATATTTCACTCGCTCGATATCAGTTTCTTGTAATTAGGTTAATGTATATATTTTCAAAGGAATAAAAACTTTATCAAAGAACAAGATTTCTTTGACGCGCTTCAATTTCTTATCATCCTTTTTCTTTATAAATAATTATCTAATAACAACAAATCAAAACCTTTTTTTAATGAAAATAATTCTTTCTATGAAAATCTAATAAAATAACATGAAAGATGTTTTGAGCAATCGTTCAAGAAAATAATAGTAATTAATTTTTTAATTTTTCTATGCAGGGTGTTTCGTAACATGTTGGGACCCACGTCAATGGTGAATAGAGGATACAAAAGCAATAAAAAGAGTTCGTATAAACATGTGCCCTATTTGACCTTACTCCCGAGTTGCGGCCATTTTTGTACTGCAATAATATGCAGTAGTTTATCTCTATAGAAAATACTCGAAATGGCCATTTTAGGCTCGAATGAAAGCCTGAAATTGTTGTGTCGTAGAATTTTTTTCTACTTTTCAAAAAAATCAGGTAATTAAAATATTACTTAAAATATTTTAATTTGAATATAAAAAACTGGCTGTAACTCGAGAACAGACTTCTACAAACTTTTCTTAATATCTCTGTTTCCTCTGTCCACTGCTGAAGTATGTTTCATAAATCATAATTATTTTATTTTCGCATTTAACTACTAAAATTTGTTATTATACCAAATTACCAAAAATAATTGAACATTATATATACTTCTGATTATAACTTGCAGCGATATAGATGGCCGAAACAAATATCAATATTTCATGATATTTTCAAAAAGGCAATAATAATCTGAAAAAAATATTTACTTAATGAAAAATGATCGTTGAACAATAACTCACTGAGACAAAGAAGGATATTTATTCGAATATAATAAAAGCTTCCCACACACGCAACGTGTTCGAATGATTAGTCGAGTTTTTTGATGCAGCCAAGAATGATATCTAGTCTTGGAACTTCGTTTTATATATCTAATGAAATATACCTGCGAGAGTAAGGAGTTGATAAATTTCCGGAAGTTTAGGGAGGTGTTCGTGCCACGATTTCGAATCACGAAAGCGAATTATTTGGATGCTTTGAGCGGTCTTTCAGTAAGAAAAAGTTTTCCCAGATATTTTGCAATTTAAATTGAGACCAAAAGTTTGAAGTTTCATTAACGATATATTTATAGAAATATTCAATATTGTGATGTATAAAAATCAAAAAAGATATGAGAATACGAGTACAATTTCTTTTTTAATTTTTTTTTCAAATTTGTCGAAAAAAAATTTTTTATAATTATATATATATATATATAATACGTTATATTTTGATTATTAAATTATTTGATAAATATTTTTATATTAAAAGTGAGGATGCAATGCTATTTATATTTCCGCGTTACCTCATTGTGGTTTTCTATTGAACCACTTGAAACTTTATTTAGTTTAGCTTTGCGTATTGGAACTTCATTTGTTTCCATAGGTAACCTGATGCAACAACAAATATTCAAAGCATCCGATATCAAAAGCTATCTGTGAAATTCTAAAACATGTAAAATCTGCCAAAAACTGCTTAGAGGGAGAGATTTATTATACGTGTAAAATTAGAAAAACAATTCGAAATGAATATTCGAATATTTCAATGTTATCGATTCATAGTAAAAATATCGTAAAATATTTTCCATATTTTTTTCACTATTTTTTATTTTTTTTCCTGCTTTTTTAAATATTCTATTTTTGTTTATTACTTTTTCGTGTTTAAATGAAAATCAGTTTTTTTAAATATATATATATATATATATATATCTTTAATATCTTCATTCGTTTAAATATATAATGAATTCAATGGAAAGTTTAGAAATATTATTGGCACGATTCACTAAAGACGTCATGTCTATAATCATTTTTCATTTTATACCAGCATTTAAGACATGCACACGAAAGGTGTGCTCTGTGAACTACGTTCTCATGACTAATTCAATCAAGTCAGAATTGTTGTTTATTGGATTGCAAGTACATTATATCGATTAGAATTTATTTGAACAAGACAAGTTAGAAACAATCATTTAATATATTTGATATAATATTAATTATAAAAATTGTTTACATAATCTTTTTTGTAAAGAAACATTTAAGAAATAAGGATTAATATTAGCAAAAAAAAAAATTTTTATTAAAATATTGGTAAAATTACTTTTTTATAATCATTCTCAAATTATCTTTTATAAAATCTTAGCCAACACAGCAGTTATTATCTTCAAATTTAGAGATTCTCTGTCACGAATCTTCCAAAGATCTCCCAGGTATCCATGAGGAAACGCGTGGACCGATTTGGCGATGGTCCAGTGGCGCATATTCTAAAAATTTCGCCGCATTCCTACCCCAGGAAATAGGGATAGAAATCGTGCAAAGAGTCATAATCGTGATCGTCCTCGTGGCCCGTTTCGATTTCGGTGAGAAACGAGCACGTCTACGAAAACCAAACTTTCCCGCTTTTGTCTTTCTTCTTTTTAGCCTCGCGATCATTTCAGAGAGTGTTGTTTCACGACAAATGAGAGATATCTTGTGGAACTTATTCAAGGGATTAGCTTTTCAACGAATCAATTGAAAATGAGTTTATTGTGGTGAAATTGAATGTAATTGGAGTGAATGAGATTAGGGGGAAAAAATTTAAATTTAACGTATTTTCTTATTTTTAGGTTAGGTTGGGATAATTGTGTTAGAAATGCGTCTCAAACATTAGGGTATGTTTTATATCTCGAAGTGAAAAATAAATCTGAATTCTAAAAATATTTATTCTTAAAACACTCGACTATTTTTAACTGGAAGCATCACTTCTCAAACATTAGAAGTGGCCTTCATTGTCATGTCGATACGGTATATCATTGATTTTCTCACGCATTAGAAAAACCCACTTGATTGATTTTTTTATATAATGTCATAAATATTTTTGGTATTTATTTATATATCTTTAATATCATTCTTTATAAAGTATAAATTTTAGTTGCTTTTTATTCATGCTTTTTTCACTATATGATTGCACAAAATATGAAAAATGAAAAATGTAGTAATTGCTTCACGCGATACTTGACTCGAAACAATCTGCATGTTTTATATTCCTTTGAACTATCTTCGTATATTGGGAAAATTCCATGAATATAAGACAATAATACAGAATGAATCTTCTTCTCTTTATAATTATATTGCTTTATTTTTCATATAACTTATTTAAATACAAGAATAACGAATTCTCATTTATTAAGATTCATCAATGTCTCGACTATCGAGAAATATATTATATTTATCTAACGATTAAATAAAATTTATTTTTTATTCGACAGTAACATTATCTTCAAAAAACAATCAAATTTCAGTTTCAAATTGACAAAATCATTCCGTACCAATATTTGCTCTTATCAGTCTTCTTAAAGAGTGTACCCGAGAATAAAGTTATTTTCATAATTTGTCGAGAGTAAATCTCTCGAGAGTAATCTCGATAAAATGCATTACTGCCAAAGCAAGCACATAAAATTTCAAAAATAGCAAAGCTGATAAAAAATTTCGTAATTCACATAAAATCGTTTTTGAACGATGTATAAAACATTTCGTTCGATTTCGATTTTGATCGAGGAAGCACGCTCTCTGTCGTTAGGGGTGAGTACTTCGCTTTTACTCATCACATTAGTATAGTGCGTTAAAATCCTCGGTTGAAGTCGCAAGCGGGGGGATTCTTTATTTAGACGTCGTCGAACGATTGTTCTCCCAGAATACCGTGAAAGTGAGAGAGAGAGAAAGCTGTGATTCAGCTGGAGCTCGCGCGAATCGAGAGCGACTCAAGTTCAATGATAATCGAGACGGACTTGGCACGCGTCACCGCGACCGGATTCTCTTCGTTGATCTTGGACCGATAGTGGCGCCACGCTAGCTACAGACATGGCGTCGATCATGTTTCTGGGCGAAACAGATCTGTCAGCGAAACAACGACTCTGCAACGTGTGTATTGCCTCGTGTTCAACGAAGCTTCTTAAAAGAATGTATTAAGGCAAATCGATTATTTAAACAGACAGTGAGACATTTCGATTGAAAGAGACTTAGAATAAATATCGACTCGGAAAAAAATAAAAATTTAATAGATAGAATAAATTGTATTTGTGGAGGGGTGAAGTTTGAGGATAGTTGGGATTGATCAAAGGTGAGAACACCAGGCGATAATCGGTGTCGCAGCCGGTGTTCGATGAGAACCGAACAAGATTTGGTGCATACCCAGCGTACGTGAAAAGATCCTCGGGCACGAGGACGGGGCGCCGAAGAGATCGTCTTCAACCACGACGATCACGACGACGACGATGCTGCGCTCGCCGGCACGCGTCGTTCTCCAGGATTCTTCCGCCTCGACGTCCTCGACCCTGTCGGCGCCACCGACACCAGTTCATCACGGCGCCGCCAGCAGCTCGACCGTCTCCTCGCGTCTTTCCCTCCTCGACACCTGCCACAGGAAGATCAGGTTCTTCGGCGAGCTTGTCGCGTGAGTCCCTCCGTCTAGTTCCATCTCGTCTCTAGATCTCTATGTATATATATTATATGTATATATGTACATATTATATATATATTATATATATATTAATATTTATATTTATATATTGTACGCGTACATTGTATATACGTGTACTTGTACGGAAGTGTCTTCAATGAAGAGGGCGCTGGCTTGACGTTGAGTAGGAAGTGTTATTAGCCACCTATTTATGGAAAGTAGGAGGCAGATCGAGTTTGAGTTGAGGTTAGGTCAGTATTTTTCGAACTAGCGATTATAATTGTAATTTCAATAACAATATTATTTGTTTGATTAAAATTATAATATAATATTTTATTCTTAGATATGCTGTTATTCCTCGAATGGAATAGTTAAATTTGTTTATATAAATTATCCTTTCATCTTGAATTAACTAATTATCAGAATCAATTAAAGTTTAAAATTCGAAAATGTATAATATTATGGAAAGTATTTTCTAAAAGTTTCAAAAAGAAGAATAGGAAAAGAACTGAGAAATCTCGATCATTGACAGATTTTTTTTTTCTTATTGTTAAAATTATAGGTTAGAATATACATTTTTGTATTATTTAGGAAGTTATTAATTTTTTTTGTTAAATTTTTATTTTTAATATAGATATAATTATAATTTGTAATATAAATTTAATTATATTTAAAATATAAAACAGAATTTTATACTATATATTATATGATTCAAAGAATGTTTCTGAATTAAATATTAAATAAATATTTTTGTTTGCTATGCGTTAATTTCATTATTAAATTTGATTTGAATTATTTAGATGAATAGCAAATTCGATTTTATCATATAATATTAAAGTACACTCTATAAAAAATACAATCTAAAGTACAAATATTAAATCTAATATTTTTCAACAAAATATTTTTTAATATAAATGTTTTTTTGAAGTTTTTTAAAATGTATATTGCATTTTTTATTCAAAGACAAGCCAGTGTCCATTGTTTGAAGATATTCTGCTTATGCATAGTGTAAAATTAAAGTTCTTAAAGATTTTTTACAAAAAATAAAAATAAAAATTAAATTATAAATAAAATAAAAATAAAAATTATTACTTATTTTAAGGATTTTTTATATTTTATGTTAGAATATTTATTAGAATATATTATAATTTATTATTTGAAAAGAAATGTATGATATAAGAGATATATAATAAAAATTTTTATATATAATAAAATATAAATTTTATAGTTTCTAAAATATTACATAACATTTTTTAATTTTACACTATGCATTAAATATTATAATAATAGGAAACCGTGATACAACCGGAAATAAATTTCTCCATCAAATTTCAATCAAATAATTGAAATTAAATAATTATTTCTCCGTAAACATTTATCCATATTTATTTAAAAATGAAATTATTATTTAATAAGTGGTTAAAAAACTAAAAAACTAAAAAAGTATTATAATTAATATGTCACAAGAATAAATTATTTTATTATTCAAAAAATCACTTTCGATAGTATCACGATTTTCCCATCTATTATCTTACATCTATCTGTGGCCGGCTGAAAATCGTTTATGTTTTTTGCATGGCATATTTCTCTGATTGCGCATCGACAATCGAGAATTTTTCATTGTTTAACGCTTTGCTGGTCTAGGTTAGGTATATTTCTATTTTTCATATTTCAAATTACGCGCTAAAATCTAATCTGAATTTCTGAATTTTTTATTGACTTCGAGAGCATCCGTTGCTTATTCGACATAAAAATTAAAATAATATACGTACAATCGAGAGTTTATTCATAGTTTTGAAAATTGCTGGAAATATGAAGAGCGAAATGGAACATATTCATTCGTAAAATTGAATATTGTTCTTGTACATTGCACAATATTAGAATTGGAAAAGTTAGGTGTATTTCTTCGTCGATAGATATGCGCTGTTAAGCTTAAAGTTGCGTTTATCAATGTTTATCAGCAATTTTTTTCTTAATTTTTATATCGTTATTTTAAACGATTTATTTTTTCGTTCAATCTTTTTTTTAATTATCTTTTTTTATTACAAAAGCTTTAAAGTTTTGAATTAAATTATTCTTACTTTCTTCAATTTAAATTAAATGTAAAATAATTATGTATATTTTTTCTTTATTTTTCTTTATTTTGATTATTATTGATATACAAGTATTTTATAATAAAATTCAATATGCCTATATTGATTGAGAGATTTAAAGATTAATTAATAATTTCTTTTTCTAATTAACCTTATAATGTAATCTTTGAACTCTATACATCAATGTTATTTTCTAATAATACTACCTAGAATAAAATTCAAAATGACGATTCCGGAGATGGTTATCGTACGTTGAACTTCATAAAATAACCTGAAACATCATAGAAGAAGTATTATACAATGATTACAAATATTATTCAACGATCTAGAACATGCAAGTTTTTCATTCTCGCATTAACCCAATGCTTAAAACTACCAAGAACCGGCCACGAGAATACGATATATTGCAAAACATGTTCGAGCAATGACCGGCAGCGATTAAGCAAGAATAGAGGGCGCGGAAGAAACTTATCCGATTACACTATTATGGCGACATCTCGTGGAAGCGATCACGAAAATACAAAAGCGCGAAGTCAAGCAAGATTTCTCGAAACATATTCCATATTTGCTCAAGATCATCTTAATCAACATTTCAATAGAACATCACAAATTCAATAGAAATTTTGAGACTTTTTACAAGATTTCATTAGGTAAATAGAATAAAGACCAAGGTTCTGACAAAGTTAAAAATTTTGAATACTCGAAGCTATTCGTATAATATTATCTGAATTAAGGTTAGATGGAAAAAGATATTAAGGAATCAATAGATGTATACGAAACTTGCACTTTTAACAATTAAGATATCATTATTTTTTTCTCCAATTAAATAATCTTTTAAATTAGATTTAAAATTTTAAAAAATATTTCATTTTTTTTTTATATGAAATGTATTGGTAAAGAATAAATGTTCCCAACGAAACAAATATGAAAATAAATAAGAAGAATCGGAATAAATAAGTATTAATTTTATGTTAGAAAATTTTATGTTAGAAAAAAAATGATTTGATACAATTTTAAACAATAAACATTTTTTTTATAATATAATAAATAACTAATAAGAAATTGACCTCGAGCAATCGAGATATTTTTTGACTTTGTCGTAGTTTTTAGTGGATGTTCTATGATTTTATTTTGCGATCTCTGGTTAAAACTGGCAATAACGAAACTACGAAAAAAGCAAAAGGTAAAAGATGACGTACAGAATTTGATTGGGAAAGCAAGGTTGGCCAGTTTTTTCCATACAAGCGCAGCTTGTTTTCAATGGCATGAGCTTTATAACATATAGAAAAAGATTGATGCTTTGATGAGCATAGATATGGCTGAATTTTGTGCCTCTTTGATTATATTGCATGCGAATAAAGCATTTTAGCGGTTGATAGGAAATTCATTAAACAACCTCTTGTTAAATTTTCAGTATAAAATAAAACACTTGTATTTTTTCTAACAGTATCTCATAATCAATTTATTATATTCTATTATTTATTATTATTTATTATTATTCATTATCGAATAGATTTATTATTTATTTATGTAATCAAAACAATACAAAGTCTAATTATAAATAATATTACTTCAATATAATTTTTTATTGTGCATTTCATTTTTAATTTTCTCGAAAAAATTCTTCTCAAAATTCAAAACTCTATTACTAAAATACTTCTCTCAAATGTGAAGTATCATCAATCAAATTCACGAAAAGTTCTAAAAAATTATTTTCCAAAAACATGAATAAAAATAAAATAAATCCACGCTAATGATTAAAATTTAAGATATAAAAAAATTAAAAAATCCATTCATTAAAAAAAAAAAAGAGAAAAGAAACGATGCAAAATAATCAACTATATATTTAGTTTGCAATTTGTAACATTAATTAATTTCTTTCCACTTTTTCATACTTAGAGATCGAAGTCTAAGCGTGAAAAAACGTATGCCATTGGTCCGATTCGAGAATATGGCAGGAATAAAGGAACTTTAATCAATTAACTTTTGTCTGGGAAAAAGCTTCTTCAATTGTTCTCAGGAGTGGAGGAACGAAGAAACGGGAAAATGTTCAACCAAGAAGTCGAATGATAGATTAAAAGCAAACGGAAAGCTATTCCTAGAGACCGTTTGTTTCCGTACAAATCCAATAATTCGTTAATCCGATTAACGAACCAGTCGATTAAAGATGTAATGTTCTCTGCATAATATGATTAGTGCAATTATGAAACGTGTTTACAGTGTAAAATAGGGATTAATCATGATATCAATGAACTTTCACATCGAATCATAATGTCTTTGTTTTTGTTTGAAATCCATTCAAATTTGAATGAAATTTTTTTCATTTATCAAACATCTTAATTTTTACTATTTCAATGTAAATTAATTTTTTCTCTGTATTATAAAAATATTAGTAGCAAGAAAAAAAACACAATTAATTATATCAAAATATTAAATTGTTAAACATAAAAAAATTACAAATGGTATAGAAGAATAATAGCATTTTAATGACACGAAACAAGTAGAAACCAAAATGTAATAAATAATAATGAAATTTTGATTATACATCCAATTTAAATTACTAATTTAAATTATGCTTCAAATTCATGAGGTTGTTAGAGATTCTCGTATTACTGTGATAAAATCATCATAATAGTAAAAATTGTCAGTTCTAATTAAAATGTAAAATTTTGTTCAAAGAGTAGATAAATTTGCATTTATAGCAACGTTAATGAATGAATCATAAACTGTAATTAAATATGCATGTAGAATTTTCCCGAGTTCTTATTAATGATTTATCCTAGTTGTGTTAAAAATTAGAATCTTTAATTTTAATGAGAATATTAAATTCGTAATTTAATCCAAAAGAGTCTAATCTTGACGAATATTTCATACATAAATTATTTCTCAGTAAAATAATTTAAATTATCTATTAAATTGATATTTTACAAAATAATTTGAAAGTCTAAGTTATAATCTAAGTTATATATTTAACATGGCTGTTATTTTAATGGATCATTAGATCAAGACAAATCGGACTTTGTCTCTACTTTAGTAAACGTTAATTAACTCGTTTCAAGCTATATATTCGATAGTTCGATTTATACTTTATTTTCTGGCAAAGTTTCAAGGATTTCGGTTTCATTGTAATATAGTATATTGGTTAATTCATATTTAAATGTTTAATTTGAAGAATAGATATAATTCAAATAATAATTACACGTTAATATTGAGAGTCTTAGTTATTATAGGTTAAATTTTTAAATCAAATTTATATTTAAATGTAATCTTTCAAAATATAAAAAATATTCAGTTGAAAGTGTTCATAACCTTTAAAATATATTTTTACTTACATTTTTCTAAATCGAAATTTCAAGTCAATTTTAACACTACTTAGTTTCTAGCACAGTTTACCAGTTGTATAACCTAGATTAGACCGCGAGTTTCATTTTTCGGTTTACGGAGCGCCACGTTTCCGGGCTGTCGGATGGAAACTTGCTAATTACGAGACATCCGAGCGGACAGGAGAAGAGGCGATGTACTTGTGGTCGCCTCTTCTCGTGAGTACGCCAAAACATTTCGAAACAAGCTCACTCGGCCCATGCTATTGTCAGGAAACCGTATGCGACTTTGCTTTCCTGCACTCCACTTTGAACTTCTAGCAATCCCGAACGAAACGTTTTTCTACAAATGGCAGCCATAATTGTAAAAAGGAATGAACTCGACACTCGAATAAGTATTGTAGATGGCAGAGCGTTCGTTCGATTTAGACACTGATTGGATTTATTTTTGATTATCGATTGCAATATTTATTTAAATTGATATTAGTAGTTTCCATGGTTTATTTCATTAATTCATTTTCATTTGATACGTTCTTTATGCGTAACTAGTAAGGAGAAAATCGATGCGAATGCGGTAGCTTTGTAGAAACATATTGCTAGCAGTATGTATTAGTGATATTGGGCTAATGAGCTTGAATGTGTTCCAAAATTTGCCGCAGAATGGTATAGAGAAGAAGGGAGAATCGTTAGGGAAAATCGCAGTAGAGAGCGACCTCTAGAGCAAAGTGCATTTAGGCCAACATATTAACCTTCATCCCAGGATGAAATTACTTTTTCAAATTATATATATGCATGTATAATTTGTTTTCTGCAATATATTGTTGAACGAATTTAATCGATATCGATTTATATTGAATATTTTTTATAATTTTTTTTTAAATAATTTAATGTATTATGATTCGATCAGACTGAAAATATGAAAAATATTAAATAATAATAAAAATAATATAAAATATCTGTATATTTATCGAATATTATTTTATAAAAAATATCATTAAGACAAAAATATTCTTATTGATACGAAATTGATAAAAATTAAAAGTTAAAACAATATATGTATCATGTTAAATTTGATTTTCAAGTGATTAAAAAAAAAAAATAATAATTTATTTTGAATTGAAGTTACAGAAATCAAAAGATATACGCTTAATAGCTTACGTTTTAGATTTCTTAACAATAAATATTTAAAATATAATTACGCGTTAATAAAAACTTATTATTTATTTGAAATTGTAAACTTGCCTTCTGAAATGTTTTATTCAAGTAAAACAGAAAAATAAGATTTTTTATTTATATATTTATCTATTATGTTAGTGTATTACTTATTTATTTATTTATTTATCATTATCATATTTAATATAAAAATATATTAATGATATCTATTATTGGATTGCTTTTTATATTAATTTATTTTTTAATTTGTTTTAATATAAAAGTTATTTATGATTTTGCTTTTTAAATATATTATATATATTGTGTTTATATTAAATATAATTGATATGTAAATATTCATTATATCATTTGTCTATTTTTTCCATTCATTTAATTATTTGTTTATTTTTGTATTTTTTATGTTCAATTATTTTCGAATATCTATATAGAAATATTCGTTAACGTTGATTATTTTATTACTCGTATAAATCAGACGCTTGATAAGTTATCAATAGATCATTCGAAATAACCAACAGTGTTCGTGTTCTAGTTCGATAATTATAGTCGTCATTCACTTGAAAATCAATGGAATGTAATTTCAAACAAATCACGTGCCCACGCACCCAATAATCAAACATGATGTGTTAAATAATAATCTGAAGTATAACGTAAACTCGTATATAACTACTAGCTGTTTTCAATGATTTATCAATTTTGCTAAAAAATATTAACTTTATTAAGAATTTTTTTTTTTCTTTTCATATTAAAAAATAAACGAGTTAACATATGTGGAATCAAATGTACAGATTCGATTTTTCTATTATCTAAAATTTAAAATTTTTTACTTTGTCTTGTCGGTAATTAGTCTTTTCAATAGAAAAGTTTCGCGCACTGCTCGACAAACAAACAGAACGTGACTTTCGTTATAATGAGAATCCTAGAGGTCGTGGCAGGCCTCGTTATTAAGACAGGACAGATTAATAACTTATAACTCTGAGTCAAGATCAATGGTGAGCAAAGATATTTGTGCATTAATAATTGCGGTGGATTATCGAATATGATTTCCCGAAATGAATCTTATATTTTATGCGGACGCAACATTTCATTCGTATTCGCATAATCTGTATTAACCTCAAAATGATCTAGTGCTATTTAATTCATTTGTGTGGCATGATAGTGATACTGAACAAAATTGCAAGAAACGGACGAATAGGTTATGTATATCTCTGTGTAAATATAGGATTTTTATCATTTTGGTTTGAAATTATTCAAGAAATAAGTAGAAATTAAAAATTATAGAACATTTGCATTATTTTCATTGAGTTAAAAATAGCTATAGAATTACGTAAAATGCATATTAATGATTGCATTGTGAAAATTTATTTGTTATTTGTGAAAATAAATTTTGTACTATTTCGCTTATAGAATTCTCAACCATTAGTGAAATTGACACATTGCTTGCATTTACAAATAAAATTAAATTAATTTTTGATCATACAGTCACAAAATTAAATTTCAATAATTCATGGTTATTATTTGAATGTACATTCTCATGTTTAAAATTTTTTATTAATATTACTCGTAATTATTAGTAAAATTAAATTTTTCTGTGTCAATATCAAATTTAATTTTATTTACAAATATATTATACTGCATATTTATTTTATATTTCATTTAAGAAATATTTTTCATAAAGGATTATTAAGATTAAAATCTAAAATATTAATATATCTTATTTATATACATTCAAAATTAAAAATCCACAAATTTCATTATATAAATTATCTATCGTTATTATCTCTTAAACAATAGCATACATAGTCACTATTGATTACGAATTATTGCTGTATCATAAATAAAAAATTCATTATTATTATTATAATTATTGTATTATATGCGATATGAAGTGTACGATATTATTCAAATGATATAATGACTAAATTACTATTTATTAATAGCAATTAATAATTGATGCGATATTACATAAAAATAATTTGCAATAAAGAATAATAGTTGATAAATTTGGCATAAAGAGCGCGATTTCTATTTTAACATATGCATATCGTAAAAACTTTTCAAAGTTTCTCACATACTTCGTTTCGATCGTTCGAAAACGATTCTTGAAACTATACTGCCCTTCTCTTCCCTCGAGTATTTTTTGCGCTCTAGATCCGCTCAGTTTCTCGATCGCTGCGTCGATAACGCGAACTCGAAACACAGTTTAAAACACTATTTGTAACGAGACATCGAAATGCATCCCTCTTCCACTCTTCTTATTTTCTATTTCTGAGAGACTCGCGAAATGTTTCACCGTTTTCTTTCATCGATCAGACTTCAGTGTTTTTGCACTGGAAGAATTTTTATCATCGAGCACAGTTTTGCTTTACACAATTTTTATTGTTTACAGATTTTCTGTAAAATTGATAATGAATATTTCGAGTATTTACAATAGAAGATTTTATTAGTTTAGATCGAATTAGATTAGATCGAAATCGATGAATTAGATTAAGTTTATTTTCTGTTTTTTATTTGAGTTAATCTTATATAACATGAATATTGCACACATCCAAATGTATTTTCAAATCTTGAATTTTTATTCTCTATAAATTATAAAATAATCAACAAAGTATTAATTTCATTCTTTTAGTTTAATTTTAGTTTAATTAAGAAATAAATTTTATTCGTCTTAATTCTTACACATTAAAAATGAAACATACACATACATACATATGCACATTAATATTGCAATTGTTATCAGTCATATATGCGATAGTATCAATTCATTCGTTATAGAAACGAAAATTTTAAATGAATTTTTATATCTAAGGACATCATTCATATATTATAAGAATTTACAACTTACATTCACATAATAACATATTGATGATGGAACACATCTTTCGAGTTACAGATCGTAAAATATATTTTCTCATTCAAATGTAACTTAATCTATTTTTAAACTATTTTTGGAAACATTATAAAAATAGAAAATTAAAATAAACAAATTGATATGTTTTATTTCAAATATAATTTAAATATCCAACATAACCACACATACCACCTTAAAAAAATTAATATTTTTCCTAGATCAAGATTCCCCAACACATGAATCCTCTATGCTGAGCAATAATGCTTTATTGCTTGAGCAAATGTGGTAGCAGGTTAACGTGATAAGAGGTAAAACGAGATTAAATGAGCGATTTTACGCTGTTCGTAGAAAAGCCCGACGAAAGGAGAAGGATGCGGGAACAACAGAGGATCCGAAATTGTATCTCGAGGAGGCGGCTCTTGAAAGGCAACTGCCAGAGCTGGACTTGAGGATGTTGGTCGATTTGCCACCTGGTTTGGATTACAACGAATGGTTGGCCTCTCATACTCTTGCACTATTTGATCATATCAATCTCGTTTACGGAACGATATCCGAGTTCTGTACGATGACGGGTTGTCCTGATATGACCGGTCCTGGCTTAAGGTGTGTATTGCATTCTTTTTTTTTTTTTCTTTTCCGAATTTATCATAAGAAATTATAAAAATAAGTGATAAAGCAAGAATTTGAAATAAACGATAAAGAGAAAATTGTAAAAAGATAGATAAAATAATAGAGCAGCAATACGCTGTAATTGTTTTAAACGGTCAATTGATTTTGGTAGTATTATAGCGAGGGAATAAGAAAAATGAACGATTTTTAGATAACTTAAAGTTTATTACTTTTATATAAATTATTTACTTAGAATATTTAAAAAATCTTTGTCATAGGATAACAAAAATTTTAAATAATTATAAGGTATAATAATTATAAAAAAATCAATAGTATAAAAACAATTTACATTTATATAAGAAAATGAGAATTTTTCGATTAATAATTTTGTTATTTTTAAGAAAAATAGCATTTTTTATATTTTTACTAAAAGAAATTTCGCGTAATAATATATGAAAAATTATTTTTAATATATTTTTTTTCCATTTATTTTATTTTTTTTTATATTGAATATATGCAAAATATTTTAATCATAATATTCAACAAATCGATCAAATTAATCCATACGTTGATTACTAATTATATATAATATAATATATAATATAAATATTGATCATCAAAGCTATTAATCTTAATTAAACATGTTGTTGTAGATAACTTTTTAAATTATATTTATAATTGAAATAGAATTGATATAAATAATAAGAAATGTAGAAAAAATTTTTTTGAATAGAAAAATTAGTCAAGCATAATTTATCATAATATATAATTACTTTAGATAATAGTGATTATGATAAATTCCATTATCACATCCACGTTATTTACTTTTAAAATTTATATCTAATGTTTATGATAAAAAGGAAAAATAAAAAGAAAGAATTATCATTCTTTGAACAATTTTCTTTTTTATTTTCATATTCTTTTAAGTGATATTATGCATCAATTATAACATGCTTTTTTATATTTCAGAACTTATCTGTGGTTTGATGAGAAAGGAAAGAAAACAAGAGTGGCAGCGCCACAATATATAGATTATGTTATGACTTTTACACAACGCACCGTTAGTGATGAAACTATATTTCCTACGAAATATGGTAAGTTATCTGTTTTATCTTGTCAAAATGATAATTATTATTATTAACGATAAGTAATTATAATATTTTTGTATTTTAAAAAATATATTGAACTGTAAAAATTTTCTAACTAAAAAATTAATATTTTGAATAAAGGGATATAAAGAATCATATGAGGCATATTACTTTTATTAATTTTTAATATTTTTATATTGAAATAATTATCAAAATTTATCGTAAAAATAAATAAAAGTTAAATAAATAAAAGAGAGCTTGGTGTAAAACTATATTTATCAATTACATGTATCTATTATATAAATCTAATAATAGTTATACTTAATGATATCAATATTTTGATATATACATGAAATCATAATCGTATTAATTCATTGGTTTCCTGGATGTTTCAGCAAATGAATTTCCTAGCTCGTTCGAATCGATAGTGCGTAAGATCCTGCGGCTACTGTACCATGTGGTGGCACACATTTACCACTGCCACTTCAGAGAGGTAGCACTCTTGGGGTTGCATGCTCACCTTAATTGTGTATTTGCCCACCTCACGCTCCTTAATCAACGCTTCAACCTTATCGATCCCAAGGAAACGGAGATCTTAGGAGATTTAGAGGCTGCCCTCTTGGGTAAGCTTATCTACTAAAATCGATATTATTATGTAATATTCAAGAATATTATATCTTAATGAGATTACCATTGTTTAGAAAGAAATATTATTACAAATGATACAATCTATTAAAATTACACGATATTACGTAGAACGGTTTCTCGATAAGACACAAGAGACAAACTAGTAACAGATGATGATGACCGTGTAGGTTGACATTTCCATAATGTTTAATTAAGGACAAGATAATTCTTCGACTTAACGATAAAAGAACATTTGAAAATTGAATTCGATTAATATCTATTCTTTATTGAATATGTTTTGATGCAGGATCTTTTCTGATGAGAGAGATGAAACTCTGTAAAATAATATATTGCAATAAGATTTAAATGAAAAATATATTTAAATATTTTATTAAATATTACTTTACTTAAATACTTATTCATAAAAAATTCATATATAATTCAATTGATATTAAATTTATAATTTATTATTATCTTTTTAAATTACTGTTTATTAAAAATAATTCTATAATTGCAGGTGACTCAACATCTTCATCAGCGCCTTCTTCACAAACCTTAGCCATTCAGGAGACTCCGACCACAGCCACCTAGATCGCGATGCACAGCAAGCAAAAGGTTGCAGTTCCTGAGACTAGGTGACGATAGGCGTTTTGTTTTTTCCTTTTTTCCTCTCTATCCTTTTTCTTTTTTTTTTTTCTCTTTCTTTCGTTCTCTCTCTCTCTTTCTCTCTTTCTCTTTCTCTTTTTCTTTCTTTTTCTCTCTATTTTTCTTCTCTTTTTTCTTTCTCTTTTCTGTTTTGTTTTTTAAATAGAATATGCGAACGACAAGAGTTTAAGCATTAACGACTACATACGCAGGTGGAGCGAAAGCGCAATTCTGTAAAAACTAGTAGTACCTGTACATAGCGAAGTGTGAACAACTACATGATGTAATTAGGTTCCTCCGTTTGTTGTTTGTGAGATTGTACATAATTTATTAAACAGTAAGATATACGAAAGAGATGAAGGATGATTATTGATTATTATTGACGAAGTTAGTTGCTATAAGAGGATAATTTGTTCTGTAAAAACAAAAAGAAAAAAGAAAAAAAAAAACAAAAAATAACAAAATGAATGAAACTGATAATAATATTGTAAAGTTTAAATAATACCAAATATATACCTGGTGTTAAGGCATGTGTTATATTCGTTAAAACTTGAACAGCTATTACAGACAGCTATTTTCAAATTTTTCTTCAGTTCACATCATTCTATCCTGGGACAATGCCTTTTCAAATTGATGATCGAGATAATTTATCATCATCTACAGAAGAACAACGGATAAAATTTGTGATTTAGTAAAAGAAAGATACTTTTCATACGCACACTTTGTATTAAGTTCTTTTTATAAGTATATCGAATAGAAGAATTTAGTTCTTTGTTAACCCTTTGAGACTTAGTATTTTGAATATCGTATATATTCAGAGAAATAAATATGTTATAAAAAAATGGCCTCGTGGTGGATGTTCTAAGTAACGATATCTATTAAAGGCCTGTACTTAGTTAACATACTTAGACCTTAAAGGGTTAAAACTGATTCACTCTATTTAATCATAATTCAGTTTTTACTTCAATTTTTTTCATAACTCAAAATCAAGATAGAATCAATCATTAGTAGATGTAATAAATCGTTTTTTCTTTCATCTTTTGAACCTTAAACAATAAAACAGATATAGTACAAGATAGGAGTGTGAAGTTAAAATAACTTGGAAACAGTTATTTTGAAGTAACTTAAGTCAACACTTACATGGTGCTATTTTCTTACGAATCGCAAAATATTATGAGTTTTGTACCTTATTCCCTTAAAACAAAGTATATTTCATATTCGTCATTCAGAATTGCTCTCTTCTTCTATTCAATCATCAAGTGCAAGCAACCGAGGGAGCGGTACCCTGTTTCACTTCGACGATTCGAATTGCCGCACACACGTGAGCGATTTCTCGTAAGAACAATCCTATCGCTTCTGCGATAGGTTCACAAAGATCCTTGAAAGATGTTGCGATATTGTATAACAATATCAATACAGGCTGTATGAGGGCATTGAACACAATTGACAATAGGGGTTTTATAAAATAGTCCGCAAACAATTGCAAAATGCCCACTGTCAGTGGTCTGATTATACTATAAAGTATAAATCGAATTAATTGTAAAATAAATGCTGTGATGAAAGCAGTGCCGATATGAATAGTCCCAAATATTTCGGCCCAAAAACGAATCGCTGCTTGATCGGTTTTCTCGGCACATTTTTCGGTTATTAATACGGGCGGTGAATCCGTTGTTCGATAATATCTGTAAAAATTGTAAAAGATGTTACGTTAACGAACATAATTGTAATATAATTAACATATTTTCCGAGTTATATAAATTTTTTTAGAATGATATATACATATAAATAAAAAAAAAAATTTGTTTTTTGTGATTCTCTTTTTTTTTTTTTTTTTTTTTTTTTTTTTT